TGCAGAAATATATTCAAATTTAGCAAAAACTCATTTTTCATTTTCGGGGGAGTTTCCTCCCTTTCTATTGCAAAGGCCTCATTTACAAAAATGAGATTTCTTTATAGTGAATTTTATATAAATAAAAAATAAATTTCTTATAATGTAAATTTTTTAATTTTATTATTATCTTGAATGTTTAACATTGTATAAAACTATTTAATGTGATTTGTTTTGCATTATTTTAAATTTATTTGTTAGATTTTAATTTTAAAGTATTGAGAATTTTTAATTCTGTATAATTAACCAAAATATTATTAGACGAATTTTTAAAATACTGAATCACTTTCTCTAAACTACTTAAAGCTTCATTATTAAAAATACTAATATTTGTCTCTGGTTTATCATCCTCTTCTAAATCTTTTTCAGATCTTGAAATTATTGTAACAATAATTTCTTCATTAGATAATAGCTCTATTAATATTTTATCATCAATATGGATAAATCTTTCAGCTGTAATAAAATCCTGTAAATTTAATTTATCAATCATTTCTTATAATTCTAAAGTTATTCTATTAATTTTATCATTAATATCTTGACTCCAATCATAATCATTTTCTTCAGAATTATTTTCTTCAAAATCAGGTAAAATGCTTGTTTTTTTTTAATAATGTTCAATTGTACTTAATTTACAATGTCTCATACTTCACTAATAAATATTATAGTGTCAAAAATATCAACTTGTATTAAATTACTTTCTTAAGCCAAATCGTATACTTTTACTCTATTTGTAATTAATAATTTTCTGTATTGAGCCTAATATTATAAAATTATAAGTGATAAAAAATTAATAGAAAAAATCTAATAATTGTTTTTACCTTAAAGCTATTAATAATATCAGTATCTAATAGTTATTAATAAGCAGTTGTATTTGGGAAAAGAAAACATACATTAATATTTAATAATTGAACAGATTCATCTAATAAGTATATAGATGCATTATCTTTCAATAATAAATATTTTACAATTTTGCTGTTTCATTAATTGGTTAAGTTTATTTAGATAATCACATTACACTGATATTTGCATTTATGCAGTATAATTCTAATAGTACCAAATGGATAAATTATCTTTTTTAATTCTTTTTAAAACACGTGAAGTCTACTATTTATGTATTACTAGTGCAGGTAACTTATGACTTCTATTAGCATTACAAGTTAAAATAACTGTAATATGATTCTTTGATTTTTTAGTACTAGAAATATAATAGTCTGAAAGCGTTTTTAATAGTTTTAAATTCTAAAATAAAGCTAAATGTATATATATAAATTAGTTAATAAATAAATAAATTTGTATTAATTTTAATCTGTTTTTACCTGTTTCATCAACATTATAAATATCACAAAGATCATATTGTTTAATTAATTCTTGCAGAATTTTGCACTCTTCTTTCAGTATTTCTAAAGGTGCACTATTCGCTTCACTAGTTTTATTAATTTGCTTTATATTATATCATTTTTTAAAATTTTGTTAATCACCCATCTGAAGCAGTAAAAGATGTTATTTGTAATCTAATTGCAAAATTTAAAGCTTTAGATTTTAATACATCTCCTGTAATAGTTAAGTTTGATGTTAATGCTTGCTACATTCACAAATATAATGCAGATTTAATTTCTGGGTATTTAGCACCTCTATCCTGTTTTTGATCTTTAAATTCCTTATTTGAAATATTGTTAGATAACCATTTATTTTTGTTTTTTAGTATTTACAAACTTGTGGCTTTGATATACTAAATTTTTTAGTAAGTTCTTTCTGATTATATGATAGATTATTTTTTATTCATTTGCATAATTCTTTTTTTTTTGCATAAGATAAACTTTTTTTTTTATTGGTTCTATCAGCTACTTTTTCTCGAAATGGACTAGTAGTAAGTTTTTTATGAGTAGGTTGTTAATTCTTTCTTTTGGAACGGTACTATCTTTCTTCTTTTTTTTTAGGAATCAGCTTGGACTTTGTCTTGAAACGGATTAGTGGTAAGTTTTTTATGGGTGAGTTGTTAATTCTTTCTTTTGGAATGGTACTAACCATTTTTTTCTTTTTTTTTTTTTTAGGAATTGGCTTGGACTTTCTCTCGAAACGGATTTGTGGTAAGTTTTTTATGGGTGGAGTTGTTAATTCTTTCTTTTGGAACAGTACTAACCATTTTTTTTTTAGGAATCGGCTTGAACTTTTTTCGAAACAGACTTGTAGTAAGTTTTTTATGGGTGTGTTGTTAATTATTTCTTTTGGAACGGTACTAACCATTATTTTCTTTCTTCTTTTTTTTAGGAATCGGCTTAGACTTTCTCTCGAAATGGACTCGTGGTAAGTTTTTATGGATAGGTTGTTAATTCTTTCTTTTGGAACGGTACTATCTTTCTTCTTTTTTTTAGGAATCAGCTTGGACTTTCTTTCGTGGTAAGCTTTTATGGGTAGGCGGGATTCTTTCATTTAAAATAGTACTAACCGTTCTCTTTTCTTTCTTTTTAGAAATCAGCTTGGACTTTTTCTTGTGGTAAGTTTTTATGGATAGGCGGAATTCTTTCATTTAGAATAATACTAACCGTTCTTTTTTCTTTTCTTTTTCTTTTAGAAATTGGCTTGGGCTTTCTCTCAAAACAGACTTACGGTAAGTTTTTTATTGATGGACAGAGTTTTTCTTTTACTTTTATGAAATATATTAACGTTTCTTCATATGAGTTCTTTATTTTTATGGCTACGCAGTTTAACATTGAAGAAATGATTTGCAAAGTCACTAATTATAAGGTTCTCGGAGAATTGCCCTTACAAAGGACTTCTGTGTAGATTTTTAACTAATATAAGCAAACATTAAAATTTTTAGTTAAAACA